AAAATTTAATTATCTTCTCGACTCCAATAGAGTCCCCCCCCCTCTCTCTCTCTCTCTCTCTTTCTCTCTCCCTATTTTTTTAAAAGGGATTAATTTAGCGGCACACGAATTATTGTTAAGCTGAGCGCGTAAGTAAGTTTCTTATGTATTTCCTCTTATAGAATATCGTGTGCCAAAACTCACTGATAACACTCCCTGATAAGAAAATTTAAAGAAAAACTAATAATAATAATAATAATAATAATAATAATAATAATAATAATAATAATTAATCATTTTCATCTTATCAACGAAGACAACGACCCAAGTCTCTGTTATCATTAATTCCTTTCGTTTTCATTTTTTTTTTTTTTTGTTACATTCGTTTTTAAACACTAGAATGGGGGAAAAAAAAGGTTTTCACGGGGGGAATTTCCCCCTTCTTTTCCCCAATCCCCAATTTCTCCCTTTTCCCCAAGAATTACAATTGTTAATTACATAAATTATTAATTACGTAAATGAAAACAATGGTGAAAAATTATTTTAAAAAATCGCAAAACCTTATATAATATTTTTTTTTCATTCGCGTTTTCTCTCTCTCTCTCTTTTTCTCTCTTCAAAGAGAGAGAGAGAGAGAGAGAGAGAAAATTATTATTTTTTCCCCCCTTTACTTTATTCATTCGATATTAAATCGAAACAAAAACAAAACAAAACGTGAACGAAGGGTCAAAATATCATTATTTTTTTATTCGATTGTTGTTGTTGTTGTTGTATGTTGTTTGTTACATAACGTATTAAATCTCCAATCTCCCCGTTGCCATTTATTATTCGTTAAAATAAACTTTTCACCAATCTAATCTTATTTTGCGTGCGTGGAAATCGGAGGAAAATCCTTTCTTAAAAAGTATACCAACCCATCAACTTTGAATCCCGAATGAAGGAGTTTCCAAGTCCGAGATGCAAAGTTCGGGAAAAAAATAATTCTGGAAAATCGTGATGAGTACAAACAACAACAACAACAAACGATTCCGAGTCCTTGAGGCAAATTATATATAAAACTTCTCGAAAGGTTATGCAACAAACAAAACCTGGACAAGAATGGTATTCTTTCCTATTGAAAGTAAAAAAAAAAAAAGGAGGGTGAAAAAAAATCCCCCCTCACACTCTCTCTCTTTTCTGGAACGCTTCGGGGGGGGGAGGGGAAACGAAAATCTTTTTTCGTTCTATTACTAATGCTTCTCTGACGAAATTAACGTTTCATTTTGGAACGAAAAACGTGTATTCGACATTATGAGTCATGTAAAGGACTCGTTGTTCGATTGAGTAATGTGGAGTCGATAAAAGGAAGGAAACGCGTTTAGAAAACAAAAAAATTTTTTTTTTTTTTTTTTTATTTTTACTTTATGGAAAATTCATCGACAAAACTATTTCAATAGAGACTTGTCAATAGTTGTTATCATTATTATTATCGTTCTCATCGAAACCTTTTTTTGTCTTTCTCTCTCTCGTCATGTTTTCGAACACGTTTTAACCAAACTCAATTTTAAAATTAAGTCAAGTGATTTCTTGCCATCATCAGTTACGAACGTGAAAAATAAACAAATAAAAAAAATTTTTTCTCTCTCTCTCTCTCTCTTTCTCTCTCTCT